TCCAAAGATGCTTAGCATTCACTGGCAGTCTTTGATTCCAGCAATTTCATGCCAGGAAGGGGCTGATCCCACTAATATTCAGCTATTTCTCTTGTATAAACAGATCTAGTAAGTTCAAAGGAATTCAGTGGAAGTTCCTGTGTTAGAGAACATCTTCACATACAGAAGGCTTTTAATATATTCATGTCTAGCATGGAAGCATGGATTCGGAAACAAAAAATACTCAAAATTCATAATGTTTGAGTTTTATTCCATTTTGGCAGAGAGGTGTTTCAGAAAATCTCTCCTTCCTTATAAGCCTGAATTTTTGCATGTGCTTGTTTTAGTATAACTTTACTTTAGTATAACTTTAATTGTTTTAGAACTTTAAGAAATGATGCTCCTTTAAAAAACAAAGCCAAACAAAATCCCTTTTCGTTCTCTCAGATTACCCACCTGAAACAACCTGAAATAAGCCAGCAGTTGTCAAAGACTGAAGCAGGGCTTCAGGAGAGTCCCAGAAACCGACACAGGCGTTCGTTTTGAAATGACCGAGATAGGTACAGCCCCCTGCTTCATTTACTGCTGACCACCGATTTGACCATTGGACCATGGGGAAAACAAACCAAAACCCAACCAAAGGAAAAAGCCCACTCTTGCCTCTGGACAACCCAGCCGAGCTGTCCATCAACCTGGGGCAAGGACCGCTCCAAAGCTGCGGAAGCTGTGGCTCTAGGAACTGCACAAAGCCGGTCGCAAGTCCTGGATGGATCTTACAGGCTCCCTCCAGCAGATAGAGCTGTTTCTCCACAGAGCCATGTCGCATTCCTAGGCCGCGGAGAGGTCAGGGGCTGAGCGGAGGTAACAAGCGCTGCCTCCAGCTTCCTGCTCCCTCCATCCATTTCCCTGGCGCTCCCCACAAAGCAGGGGAAGCAGAGGCTGAACGGGACTGGAAGGAGCAAAAGATGTTCGGAAAGGCTTCTCTCTGCAGATGACTACACGCTGTTGTTTCCGTTGCTGTCTGCTGCAAGCTGAATGCACCCCCTTCTGAAATTAAGCTGCATGTGCAAATACAGCGCGCTTTTATGATCTTCTGGGAGTKCTTTCCTTACAGCGTTCAGAACACCCTGCCTGCACAGTCGTCTGCCAACCAGCTGCATTGAGAAAATCAACCCACAAATCTGCARCACTCCTATGGCTGGGTAGTACAGGCCTTGAGGAGTCTGGACACAAAACCAGGTGTATTTTAGTCTCCTAGGCAGTGTTGAGCAGGAGATTTGATAAGCTACTTTGGGGGAGTAAATTGATTTCTTAACCAGTCTTGTGTATCCAGATTCTAGGCCCTCCACATCCTGTTGAGAGATGGTGGCAAGAGCACCTCAGGTATAAGCACCATAGAGTGCAATTTGCCACTCTGCTGTAGTTTTTCTACCAGGACACAGGATGCAGGCAGAGTGTTTCCTCTTGCCTTTCTATAGCAGAGATATGGCCCATCCTGTGTCGCTGTCTTTACCTTCCGAGAACCAATGGAAGGACTAGAAGTTGCTCTTCAATGCTTGAAGAACCAAACCCTTCTCAACAGTTGGAGAAGAGCAAAAATTAAGATTAAAATCATGTAAAAAACTAAATGCTTAGAAATCTACTGCGTTAGAAATGGGCACTGACAGCTGCAATGCTCTTTATTGTCTGTTAGGGAAACACAATTTTTGAGGTAGTACTGCCAATTTCTCTATTGATGAACTTTRTAGGAAGTATCTGAATGTTGTTGTATCACAACATTGTATCTGAGATCACAACATTGTACCTGAGATACAACATTGTATCTGAGTTAATTGGATTTTAAGAGTGGGTTTTGGTTTTGGTAAGTTAATAATTGCTTAATGTTAAAAGCTCATTCTTGACATGGACCTGCTTTCTGAAAGTTTATTAAAAAAGAAGAATAAAAACATACATACAGTGAAGGAAATTAAACGAATGCAACGAAGGAAAACAGTGTAGGGTATGTGCACAGATACTTTCCTAATCGAYGTAAGGAACTGACTGATCCTAGTGAGCTTGTTGGCCCTCATTCATGCCGCTGTCTCCTTACAAAAGCCTGTGAACCAAACCTTATTTTGCTTCACTGCATGGGAAAGTACTGCCCATCAGTGCCTACAATTAATCACGTAAATTATATATGCAATTTCCTCCAAATAGGATTTCTTAATATGATTGTATATATTATTTGTGTAAATGTTATATAATATACAGGTGTGTTTATAGTATATAGGTGTAATCTCACAGAGATGCTAGGTCATTAAACTCTCCATGGAAATTGTGTTTATTTAAATCTCATTTTTGACATTCAGAATATGTATAGTTGAAAGCCTCATAAAAATAAATAGGAAAGAATCAAAAGAGGTATCTGTTCAGCTTTTAAATTTTCTAAGGTAGAAAATACTTTCTACATTAACTGTAATTCAGAAACATAAAYGTAAGGAAAGATTTACTTGCATAGGCCTTAATTCTGATGCATTAAGACTGTGTATAGCGCAGTATGGGCCAGGTTATGCTTGGCGTGGGAGAGGAGGAGGTGATTCCTGTACGTTGCTGTGGCCTGTGAGTACAAGGCTTCAGAGAAGCAAAGCTGTGGATGTATCRCAGCTGTCTGAGTGCGAGCCCAGGAAACACTGATCTGGGAGGAAGGCATTTCCTGCAATTGGCGCCATATCACAGCTCAGCATCAAAAGGTTGTGCTTGAGCATTGTCAAAATGATAATGAGCATGGAAATTTTACTGTGCTTCTGCTTTTACTAGTAGTTTGAGTTGCAGTAGGCACCAAAAAGGCTTTCCTCCGTTAACGTGAATGGTGCAGTGACCCCTACTAGGCTTCATTAGCACAGTGTCCTCAGCCTGGAATCTACTCTGGGAGCGCGGAGCCTGGCGCGGGTTTATCAGCTCCAGACATGGTGCCTGCCCARGCCATTACCTGCAGAAGGAATCTGTAAGTATCTGCTCTGTGCTCCCCTGCCAGAAAGTCAAGTTCCAGACATAGGACTTCGTGCTAACCTATTAAATCCTTACTTGACTGGATCTGAGCAATCYGCATCCTTTTTGCTCTGTTTTGTGGCTTTTTTCAAGGGCTCCAGTTCAAACGCTCGAGCTAGCCCAAGGCTGCTCTTCCTTGTACCAAAGCGAACTGGATCTTTACCAAATCTCAYAAAGGGCCCTTCTTGCAAGAGATTGACAGAAGCACTGGCTAAAAATAAGCAAACCAGGGATCCTTCTCACCAAAGGAAGCCGCGTAGCTCCGCAGCCTGTGTTTTTGGGAGGGGAAACCTGGTCCCTGGGTGATTTAACCGCATTAACTGAGCACAAGGGGGATGAAAACGACCGAGGTGGTACCCGGCGCGCAGGCAGGCTCGATGCAACACGAAGCAGCTCTGCTGGGAGTAGTTTTTATTCCTTTGGGTACCCCCAAGCGCCGCAGCACCTCGGCGCGGTGCCCAGGGCAGACGGGCGGAGGCCGGGGCACCGGGGCAGGCGATGGGCACCGCAGCGGGGCCGCCCCGGTCCGGGAAGGCGGCAGGGAAGGAAGGAGGCGCCGGGCCGGGCCGGGCCGGGCCGGGCGGGCCGCGGGAGGCCGCGGCGCTCGCTCGCTCGCTCTCCGTGGGGAAAGGCCGCCCGCGGCCCGGCCCCCGCTGACGTCGCGCGGCCTCCGCCGCCGGTCGCAGCGGGCCGGGGGCCGGGGAAGGGGCCGCAGCTCGCGGCCCGTGCGGGGCCGTGGCCGGGGCGGCTCGCGGCCGCGGCGCTGCCCCGGGGCGGGATTCCAGCGATAAAACACTCCAATAAAGCTCACGGGCTATTTAAAGCTCCGCAGGAAGACGCGCAAGGATGTTTTTTTCCACGCTGCTTCGCCACTTTTATCCCGGGAGGAGGAGGAGGAGGAGGTGGAGGAGGAGGAAGGAGGGGGAGGGGGCGCGCACACCACAGCCGGGCTAGCACAAATCGCGCACGAACACGGGGCGCGCGGCAGCCGCGGCGCCACGCGGGGCTTTTCCCCGCGCGGCCCGCTCCCGCCGCGGGCAAAACTTGGGAGCTCCGCGCAGAGCGGGGCGAGTGCGCGCTCACACACACACACACACACACACATAGACACACACACGCAACGCTCCCTCCCCGCCGCCGTTTGCGCATTTCCTGCAGCGGCGCGGAGCGGGAGGCGGGCCGGGCTGCGCGGCGCGGCGCGGAGGAGGCGGCGCGGGGAG